AAAAAATGCGTCACCTCCTAATGTTAAACCCTAGCCCAAAATTAAAACCCTAATCATCTAGAACACCCCATAATACAAGGGTAAAATGGGAAATACAAAAGAAAATAAATTCTAAGTCCTAAACACCCCAAAATACAAGGGTAAAATTGGAAATACAAGAAAATAAATTCTATGACTAAAATACCCCAAAATACAAGGGTAAAATAGAAAATAAAATAAATGCTAAAAAAAACTTAGGAGCTAAGGTCCAAAAATGGCCTCACTATCCCATTCCTCTTGCCTCCTTTAGTATATGACCTCTTGGTCTTCTCAGCCTTAGTGTTATTCCATCATAGAGCCCCTGCTGTTAGACAAAAAAATTGTGACCTTCTTCATCAATTCCCTAATTGGACCCTTCTACGACAAGATGATAGGGAACACATCAACTCTCTTCATTGACATAGTCACTATCCTGGAAAGAGTCGAACAAGGCCTAAAAAACAGGAAGATAGGAAAATTTTCCGAAAGCTAAGAGTCTAAGAAATTTTTTTGGGAGAAATGAAACCAATGTTGTAACCTTCTCCACTACTTCTCGGACAACGAAAGCAGCACCAAAGGTAGAAAAAGAATTTGACAAAATTCCTACAAGCTTTGTAGAGCTATTTCCTCAACTTTTGACAACATCCATGTTGGTGAGAACCCCATCACAAAGAAAGCAGGATCCGTTTTACCCAATATGGTATAGGCCTAAAGAAATTTGCGATTATCACTCCAGGGCAGCAGGGCACTCCATAGAGAACTACAAGGCCTTGAAGCTTCGCGTACGAGAGCTTATCGATGCTGGGTGGCTCAAGTTTGAGGGCCAATGCACCAACATCGATGAGTGGCCATGATGAGATGGTCTGTTGAAAAGCTATTAGGGGTCTCTCTTTGGGAAAAATATAAATTTTCATTTAAATTCATGTTCAACTCATGACCTTTGCCCATGGTCATGAGTTCATACAAAATTAGGGCTTGTATAAGTTATCTTATTTTATTTTATTTTATTTTATTTTATTTACATTTATCAATAACATATGTCATTTGTACAATTTTCTGTGTTTATTCTTTTCTCCCTCTTCTCATGTATTAAATTCTGAAACCAATTACAGTACCCCAAAAATAAACATGACTGAAGATAATAAAACTAATCCAACTCTGAACATCTGTGATGCATTATCTGAGTTTGAGTCAAATGAGGATTTCTCCGAAAAACATAAAGACGACTGAAGAAAATTGAGAAAGTTAATCTCAGACAAGTATAGGATAAGAATCGGACGTAGAAATATAAGATTCTCATTATATAAGGGGGTCCTATACAAAAGGAAACTTCAAATCAATTTGGTCGATGAAGAAAGCACAAATCTTGGTCCATGAAGGGGTTTTCGATACCTATACATCGAGGCAATGCCTCTCTCCTTTGTACATGGGATGGAGGTAGAGTTATCTATGAAGAAGGATCTAATCATGAAGGTCCATATATGAGCTTTCTTAGAAGGTCATTGATCCTCCCTTGACTTAGGTGGAAAAAAACTTTCTTGCTCAATGAATTCTGACGCAGGAAGAAGTATTAAGCCCAAAAAAAAATCGCTTGCGAAAGCCCACTAGGAAGAAAACCCACAAAGGGCGTCCTAGGAAAAAGTTAGGGAAAAAAAGAGAGTAAAAAGTTCCCGCTAAGATACGTCTTAGGCAAAAATTAGGGATTTAAAATATATATATATATATATATATATATATATATATATATATA